TTCTTATTCTCAAAAGTTTTTTTTAAATAGTGGCAGCTTGACTGCTAGAATTTGCCAATTTCGTCCAATTTCTGGTGGACGACATATTTCAAGTATGCCAATTGTGAAAAGAAAAATTGAACAACTCGTGATGATTGGATCGACTATTATTGTCAACCCATCGATGCTCGCTTCTCTGGGCAGATCAACAACAAATATTGCAGTCGTTCGCAAGACTGTGGCCACGAGTCCGAGAACATACATTCGGTATCCTGTCGGGATATAAAACACATTAAGAAGCAGTATGCAGAATATTCTCACGGAAAATTTATCAATTGCTCCATTGAACATTAAAGCGGGAACAACAGTAAGTGAGGGGTAGGCTTTCTAATAAAAAAAAATCCAATAAAGTTCGGTAATAAAATCCATTTTGATGTTGATGGCTTTATAAGTAGTAAGCCAAAGCATCTGGAATAACGAAAATTTTCATAAGACAGAAGAATGCATTTCAAGCGTGTCATTGTGTGGTGCGGATTTTGGGTTACAGATATAATTGAATCATTCTTCTTGGAAGACGTTGCTGGGAATGCACCAACAGTTAGTGGGAAGTGGTATAGGAGCATTATAACCTAATTCTTTGTGCTTTAAATGAAAGCGAACGAATGTGGATCCCGGAGACATCTGCTTCTAACAGAACGTTTCCATTTGCCACACGTCACGTGACACGTTGACCTTATCGCTCGAAACACTTACTTGTCGTGTAGTCTTCCGTTTGGGTGACGAGAATTGGTTTCTTGTACCGTACTATATAATGCCTTTGAACTTCGTTGTTTAGAATTTGCTGAAGCCAAACCCTTATGTCAACAACCCCACAACCATGTTGGCCTAAAGCAGCAGCTTAGACGTTGTATCACCGGGATTGAACCACTATTATACCAAACCATGGTTAGAAATTTCGCTAAAGAACGCAGATATGTTGACAACAAACCGAAAAAAAGCATATATCAGATTATTGATCCATACAAAGTTCTCGCAGGTCTAATTTATGGTGAAACCAAAGTTTGGTATTAAAGCAAAAAAGCTGAATTTATTTTGAAATATAAATATCCTTAAATTCTCTTGTTGGTACGTCCTATAAAAGCTCTGTTCCGCTACTTCTCTTCGCTAGTTTCTTGCCAAAATCGTTGATAAGGGCAGTGACTGCATCAGTCAAAGTGCCTTGATATGATGTGTAAACCCTTGCCATAATTATCTCTTAACTTGAGCGTACGACATCTTCTTCGAGCTTCAATGTCAAATAGGTCCTATCGAGATATTTGATACAGTCTGAAACGGTGCAATAAGGGTTCAGCTACGTAGTATAATTGCGATAATCGAATGTTTATACCATCAGCTGATTGAAACTTGCTTTTGCTCTCAGGCGCGTCTGTTTCAAAGATATTGATGACCAAATTTCCAGAATTCCCATAGAATATTAGAAATCTACCGAGGAAACCAACAGTTACGGTTCACAACAAAGTTTCAGAAGGTCTCTGCATGGTGTAAGCAATACGAGTATTAAAATCCCTAAATCGGTTCCGGGTTCCTCGCTCGAATGAAACCACTTTTAGAATCTGTCGCGCGTTGTGCGAGGCAATGTTATCTGGAAGTATGAAATATTCTTATCAATATACTGAAGGGCAGAAAAACGACGCGTGTAGCCAACCGTTGCCTTTTTGCGTCTTTTTTTAACACTTTAGGGTATATTTGTTATTTGAATAAGTGCTTGGAGTGGCCTTTTTTAAATATAAGATTAATATCTTTGCCCATTAGAAGGTTAATGGGAATAGGTCTTGCTAAAATTATCTGGGGTTCTTCCAACAAGCTACGAAATGGCATCGCAATCACACAAGCAAATATGGATCTTAACAATAATACTCATTGCCTATGAACCCTTATTTTTCCTTTATTCCTTAATTTCAGAAATATGGAAGTTGTTGTCTTTAGTATAGCTAAATATCTTCATTAGTTAAAGAAACAGTTTCAACTCTCTTAATACCAGTTGAACAAAACGTAAGATTTAAAAAGAAAAAGTTATGTGTAATAAACATTATTCTGTCTTCAATACAGCGTATAGTAAAAAAGAAACACACATAGTCTAGCTAGTTTTAGCGGCAAAAATCTAACCTTTAGTAATACGGTAGGCAGCAATTATTGCAAATTTATCAATGCAATTTATAGAAAAGGAATATCTGCTAATAATGTTCGCTAACGTTGCAACTTGAACTTACATGGCAGCATGTCTGTGATTTACGACTACTGTGGCAACGCACTCAAATAGATACCCATTAGTCACTTAAGCTACGCCGCCCTTATTTTTTCGTAGATGATATGCTGCGAACTAATCGGTCTACAAATAAAAAAAAAGTGTTAGATAGTTTGTGTCTGAACTACGTAGTTGTACAGGCCTGATCTGCTTTGTTTGTCAATCTGAGCTGTTCCCAACAGTTGACTACGGGTTTACGCATTAACATTCTCGCAGCACCTTTTTTACTGTAAGTTATGTCGTGATAAATTAAGATAGTAAGTACGTCCTCGGTGATGTGCGACATGAAGTTAAACTTCCCGTAATAGCATCCTGCTAGTAGGTTTGACTTCGTTTATAGACCTCATTAAAGATACCTGGTTAACCCTGCTGAGATAATACTTTATGAATATAATCTGAATTGGAACAACAATCAAGAAAATTAGCAATTTCACAAACGGCATTTTCTCCCCAGTTTGATGTATTAGGTTAATGGAAAAATCAGAGATTTAATCATCTACTTCAAATTAAATTTGACCAACCCGTATACCTATATTTATAAAGAGATAGATAAAACTTCCCAAAATGGTATATCTGCGCCGTAGTCAGTTGCTACTCTGGAGTCGGATTCTACGCTAAATACGAATCCTCAGCTGAGATTTTTTGAAGCTTGGCAAATATCAACATATCCAGTAGTATCTTGTATAATCAGATTAAAAACATATGTTACGTTTACCTTCACTTGGGGATACGGGCCGAAATATGAAAGTTCTAGTAAATATAAGCGAGTCTAGAAGCGGACGTGCTCCCCTTGAGTCCACTTATTTAGCCGGATGAGAAACACACAAAGGACATTAACATGTCAGAAAATATGGCTAGGAGCAGCTCGAGTGCAAGCTTCTATTTCTTTTATTTAATATACTGCGCGGAAATCTCTGCCCTAAGTGAGCACTAAAATTTTAAAGTGACCTACGTCCAGTGTCTCGACCGTGGTTTGAAAAGTGATAGCGTCACTCTCTATAGCAAAAATATATATATATAAAATATAGAAAATGGTGAGAACAGTAAGTGCAGGCTCATCTTATTAGCAAATAAAATATTCGTAAATATATCATCATTACACTTGCCATATGTTGGAGTCATGCTACGGATCCTTAATAAATAAAATGGCAAAGCCTAATGGTCTTAAAGGAGTTGAGTACGGTTATGTGTTTGAGTGTACAGAAACGATGAATCAGTGCCCATTTTTTACGAAGAACCGTATCCTTGAAGTGGTGCTTCTGGCTACCGTGGAAAATGCGGCAATATTATCTCCCTACTAAAGGCTGATTGGGCTTAAAGTCAGGTCACAGTTGTTAATGTTTCAGAGGGAATCGTAAGACAGGAAGCAAAGATACCGAGAGTGAAAACTCAGTTAACCTGTAGGCACTATAAAAAATTCAAAAGCAACTTACAAAATATGATCACGCATACAGAGTTGGGTATTTATGTCTATATGATTCTTCGCATACGTCTTAGAACTTTGTTAAACGTCCAGAATTTGGTACACAGCAGATAGTAGGAAAAAGGTGTTACAAGTGTGTACCTAGTTTATTTGGATGCAGCTACTCAGTAAAATGCCTATGGGGCAACGCTTGCGTCACATTCTAAAAGGATCTGAAACGATCAAAGTTCTAAAATGAAAGCACAATAACTTTTTTTTTGAGGGAAAGAGCATCAGGAGAATAGACAGCACATATATGCCCACTTCGTTGTCATCAGTGTCCATGCCTTAGCGTTGTTCCTCAAAGCATCATTCTCATATATAAGCGTCCAAGCATGGTAGCATGGTATATATATAGGATTAGGCCGCTGACCGATGGCAAACAATATACCGGATAGTGTCGAGGGCTCTTGTTCTAGAATCGTGTGCAAATTTTTATTTATTAGCATTGGTCATCATTATATATATTAGGTTGATGAGAAAGTTTCCGTCGAAACGACAATTGGCGCTAGCGTCAAATCGAGTGATCATCTCCAACTCGAATTTCACAGGCAAATTGTTTCCACTATAAGGCGTACGTTCTGTCCCCTTAAGTTGTTGCCATTAGAAGTGCTGATTTGGTGCGTCCAATCATGTAACTTGAAAAGATGCCTATTCGAAATTGTCTTCTTCGCAATTTTCGAGCTGGAAAAAATGCTATCGAGACAGGCAGGATTGTTTGCGAGGTCAAGGGTGGATTTACAGTAGGCGGTATCACTTGTCAGCCTTGGTTGAATCGCTTTAATATTGGAGATTTCAACTTGCTCAAACCATGTTCTGGACGATCACAAAAAAAAACGACCGAAAATGAGCTGCAGGCACTCTCTAAACGAAAGATGGCGTAGTCGACGCGAGAGCTCGCCGCGTAGCTAAAGCGACTGCTGTCAATTGTCTGTATGCACTGAGGAATAACCAGGACAGAGGAAGGTGAGGCCATGGACTCAAAAAAGGGACAAAAAACCGTTTGACAACATACTTTTTGTTACTTGCGCGACAGAAAAAAAAAAGTAATTTCTACACGAAGTCGTCACAGACCGATGACAAACTGATCATTGACGACACTAATTGAACGTAAACCAGAATAGAACTCTCTATCTCGACGCCGCAAACAAATGTTCATGATCAAAAGCTGCACCTCTGCATATGATGAAATGAGAAGGCATGTTATACTATGAGTTCAAATTAAATCATCTCTCTAAACGACGAAATTTACAGAAAAATGCCTTGGACTGGCAAAGAGCGACGATTGATGGGACAAAGCTACACTGCATAGTACTTGGGTGACGGAGCGAGTGCTAACGGATTTTCAATGAGGAATTGGCAGCCCGGACCTAACTTCGTCAGATTATCTCTCGTTTTGGTCGATGTACTCCAACAAAGCCAAGTGGGTCGATAAATGGATTGTGTTCACGGGCAAAGCTTTTTTTCTTTGCGGTTTACATAGTGGTTTGAAAGGTGAGTGAAAATTGTAGCAAGTGAATGACACTAGTTTGACTAAGATGTACTCATGTATTCGAAAGTTAATGTAAAACTTGCGGTAGCAAAAGAGAACAACGGGAATTTTTAAGATTTGTAAACCATACTAGCTTGCTAGCAATTAGGTTGTCAGTTTAAACTCATCGCTTTTTTAAATGTAAGTAATATTATTAAAGATACTTTAGAGCAATCTATGTAGAGATGAATGTAAATAGTAACTGGCGAGAAAGCTTAGATGATAAAGAGAATATGGGAGTCACAAGAAAGTACCAAATGCCCAAAAAGTTAGCAAAGAGGACCTAAGACAAGTTACTAATTACAATAATCAAACAGAGATAACCTAGACATATGGAGCACTAAAACCGACAGCATAATAGCTCATAGACTCTCGAAACCTGACACAGGTTACACTTCTTCTATATTAGTTAGATGAATGCATCCTAATAAATTCACAGCTCAACGACTTCTCACAAAATCCACTGTACAGTTACAGTGCGATGTTGTTCATTGAAATTGTTCGCTTGGCTTGCTCGCGTTCTACATGGAGTTCCACGCCCTGGTGCAATATAGCAGGCAGAGTGTTTATCGTATAACAGCAGCTCATTCTGGAGCTGTGATAGTGCGCGAATGTGGCTTGGCGCTGATGTCGCCGCCTAGCGAACGGTTCGCTAAATCGGAAAAAACTGCAAATGAAACAGCCCTACGACGCTTTAATGTAAGTAGAAAAAAAAGTTACGTATTTTGAGTAATGAAAAGAACTGTGTTGGCTCAGTCTCGCTTAACAAACGGCTTGCAAAAAATTTGGTGTCATTTTTTTTATATTGAAATAGGAGTAAGAATGAAATTTCTGAGGAACCTTGGTTTGTAAATGATAAATAATATAAATAAAGAGGGAATATAACTAAGACTTAGTAGATGTATTATTTCCTGTCGACAACGTAGAGCTTTTTGGAGTAGAACATCTGGCTCTGAAAAAAGCTTTATGGATTTCTAATCCTCAGAAAATCGTAAAAATTGTGTTGGCGTCTATGGCAATATACTCACATATTATTGTAACGATAGGTACGCAGCGGTATATAGTTTAGGTATTTTCTAACAAATTATACTTCATTAGACTGAAATCATCAACGTAATATTGACGGACATTTAAGCTTGCTCTTACAGGCGCAGGAGCTCTCTGAGTCAATTTAAAACAACCACATGAGTTCAGTACTTCAACGCAAGCTCCAACCCAAAGAAAAGCGAGCCAGGAACTCTAGATTCATTCATATTTCTAAAATATCTCAAGTCAATCAAGTAAGATACTATCCTACAATCTTCTTAGCTAATAACGATCTTACACGTTGTTTTCGAATACATATTATGTAATCATATATGATACGCAACAAATGTAAATTTAATTTTAGGGCTTAAATCATTTGCGCGAAGCTTGCGGCAACCGGTTTGCCACAGACGTACTTAAAGCGACCTGTCGCTTGACGCTTAATACAATGTCGCGTTACAAATGTGTCATAGTTTACGAAAAAGGAATTTGAAACCATAAACAGAAAAACCTATATGGGGCTTGTTTAATCTTTTAATATAAGAATAAGGTCATAAACTGAGCTGAGGACATGCTGAATCGTATCACCTATACGTCAACAGAATGTCGCACCAAGTTTATAAAAGTAAAATATGCTTGTTAGGTAAACGCCGGCATACTCGATTCATCATATTTGTATCACAGGTAGTTCTAGATAGATATGAAATACAATAGGTGAAACAGTCTAGTATCAGTGAATGAACCATATGGAAATGAAAAATACTTTAGTATTTTATAGAGTGGGGACAATATATTGTAATGGTATAAACAATAATAATGAAATCGAAACAATAATACTTTAAGTAATATTGTAGACATCTAGGCATGTCAAACGCGCACATTACCTGTATCAGTATGATTTAAGTAGTAAGTCTATGTATACAATAGATAATTAGTGCCGTTTAGACTGTATAAGATAAAATAAATATATTTGGGTTCAAAAAGGTTTGAAAATTGCAAACATGCCGGCTAAACAAGTAGGCATCGTACAACAATATCTAAGTCTTTCTTAGAGTAATGAGGATACAATTGAAAAGTCTTAGACTACAGAGAGGTATATTTTGATTCAACACAGGTCGCATTTCTATGCTGTAGGCGTACTTTTTGCATATCTGTAGACGCCATCAAATATCACACGGACTTTCTCAAGCACTAAATCTTCTCAACGCCGATATATTTGTAACGGCCAATAATAATGCAGTGTGGCTGTAGGTCCAGCACGCTGCCTATTCCAGCACCCGTGCCACAACAACTACTTTTCTCACAAGTACGAACTGTTTTCAAGGGGCTACATAACAGCATAAAGGTGTTTCTGTCTTTACGTGCAGAAAATTCACTATTGGGGTCAAAAGCGTTTTACCTGCAGACAACGTTGGCTCACGGGCCATTCAAACTCGGTGAAAAGTTAAAGAGAATAATGACAAAAAGCATCACGCTCAATTGATTGTACAGCTTTAAATAAAATCTTGTCTAATGCGTAGGTTTGCTTAAAGTCTACAAGTGCAAGCGCTAAATTATAATAGTAGGTTCACGGTAGCATGGAGCTGAAGGGAAGCGGCGATGGATACAATTTTAATTTCTTCTGATTGGTCCTAGTAGGTCAGAGCCCTTTAGCATGACATATCTTTCAAGCAGTACCACATAACGTTGTTAAAGCTTATCGTATGAGGGGCAACTAAGAATCAGCTATGAAAAATGCTTTTAGAGATCGTTATACGTTTGGGCGATAATAGGCTATCTGGTTTACGTAGGTTTCTTTGAAGTGTTCGGCCAACTATGTAGAGCTACCGGCTGTCGGTCTTGTTGGTCCTGGGCAAACCTGACTTGGGTTGCCAGTGGGCATCTGTCTGAGTCTGTTGCGATTGTGACTACTAATGTACAAATGTGCACCATATTAGTTCAAATCTAGGCGCTTGTAAAAATAATTCCTGAAAGTTAATAGCTGCAAAAATAAGAACGTGTGGATTATTATTACTAAGGTGAATAGCCGCTTGTATTGTTGCCATGCCCTTTCAAGGATTCGTTGCATACACCTCAGATAAGTTTACTAAGACCCCAATCAAAACTTCTAATGGGGGGAAGCCCTTGGTGCTGTACTTAAAAAAAATAAGTTTGACAACTTGCTCACACAGAAATAAATAGATGACAAACAGAAATATAGTGTGGCCTAACCGATTTTTCTAACATGATCAAGGTGTAGTACGGTCATTTGAGTAAAAAAATGCGTTCAAAGGTTTTCAAATTCTTCTCCTAGATTAGGCAGCACTTTCATATTTAGCTGCTATTAAGAGGCGATGTAATACACTGATATGTGGTGCTGCTATGGAGAAAATGCGGCAGTTTTTCTAACCCCGAATTCTAAGATATATTTATCAGAATACGGCGACAGCAAACTCACTCATTATCCCATATTTTGACAATAAGCATCTCAATTTGGCATTTACGGCGCATAGTTCGCAAATGCTTCAGTGACACTTTTTAGGTTATGACAAATAAAGCTTGGCGGTTTTTTCTTCAGCACGAAACATTTGGTTTATTCAACTTCGATGCAACGTTCGTGGCAAGAAAGAAGTCTTTATTGCCACAACAATAATCGAATAATCATCCCAGTTGCTAACGTAGTGATGTTCCTGTTCGTATAGCGCTAAACAAAATTTTTTCCAGGTGGCCTCCAGTGCCATTGGTCACTACAGGTGATGACATGTCGCCGTACTTCTTTCTCACGAAAACAAGACTCTTGTTAACATGTTTGTTGGGATTTAGTGTGAATTGGCAAAACCGTAATACTGTTATTGATGCAAATTATGCCTTTGCTTCACAAACATGAACATTTTGCTTATCATGTACTTCGTCGTGCTGAACACTGAACACACATAGCGCAAATTTCCTGGAAACGATCAGTAAGGCGCAATCTATATGTACATTGGTATAATTTTTTCCTTTAATACCCGGCAAGCACGTGAGTAGAGTCAATGAGCATAATCTTAGTCAGAAAGCTCTTGATCGATCCAATCTAATAACACTATCGCAGATACCATAGATAACTCAAACCGTGAATCGATAGGTTAGATGAATTTATCATTAACGCTATCGAACAAATCACTGAAGATAAAATTGCTATTCGAACCAATGAATCTACCTGCGGGTTTGGACACCAAGTCGATCATTGACATAAGCACCTGAGATCATCTCGCCTTTATTGTCATTCCCTCATTCACAGCGCAGCAGGCAAGCAAGTTCGACATGTCTATAGGATCGGTAGTCACGTGACTTCTTTGAAGGTGAACTCGTACAACGCGTTCTTAGAGCTATAATGGTATGGGGTAGATTCTTTTGCGCTGTGAAGTCATCAACATGGCAATGGGTGCCACAAAGCCTGATATTCTGAGAGATACAAAAAGGACGGTAAGACTATCGGATAGTGTAGAACTGTCGTCGCCTGAATGAAATCGTTCTCTTAGACCTGATTTGCACTCAGACAGACTGAGAGTGACAGCAGCAGCTTGCTTCTTTGGAAGCAGCATTCGATCTTGCAAATTGGCACAGCACTATTCCCCGCCGCCTGTATCCACCGAAACACTGCATCTGCGGAAACATGGGATGATGGCACCAGTTCAGGCATTGGTGAAATGCTCCGGAGAAGATGGCTGAACAGCGCAGACAAGCTGAAGAGGAGGACCTACAAAAGTGGAGGGAGACCCAGATGCATGTGCTGTTCTTTAGCTGTGTGGTCTCACGCAGCTTGCGAGCTTCTTTCGAAGAATCTGGACACTGTTCACTGTGTGAACGTTGGCGGATAGAGTCAGTGACGCACCGCTATACAATGCGCGGCAGCCAGTTGTTCTATGACAGCTACCACTGAGCAATTGAGATGGCAGGGCGGCGGCCGTGACGGTAGTGGTGGTAGTGCCGTTAGGATGGTTTCGGGCATGAAGCTCGTAAAAGCCCAGTAGTGAGCTGGGAGAGTCGGATATGAAGGGGATGAAGACAACGCTTTTGTTTACCGAGAATTTGATCATCATCATAGTGCCACACTGGCCACAGTGGCCATCTCCGGTACAGTTCGTCGACAACAGGCTAAGTCGCTTCACTCGGCTCCCCTGAGCGACACGGACTTCAGAGAAGCCATTGTGGGTTTCGATGTTTGCCACCCACCAACATGGCCGGTGTTGCCACTTCGACCACGCTGCTAGTTGGGGCAACCTACATCCTCGCGGGTACATACGGGAATGTGAAGGAAGAAAATGAACACTGTCAAAGACAAAGTCGTCGAAAAAGAATGGGAAGCAGAAGGGCTGCTCCCCGTTATCATACGATGGAGAAGGCGGAATATGCAATGGCGTGGATTGTCTGCAGGTCGTCAGTTGACGTTGTAGTGATGGCCAGGACATAACAAGAAATGGAGCTGTGAAGCCGTAGTCTTCAGCCGGTCCAGCAAAAGCAGTGATCGTTGTCATCGGACGGCGTCCTGTAGTAAATAAATCCTGCTGGTGTGTTGATGAAAATCCTCTGATGGTAACACTGCACAGGTGAAGGCAGTCTAGGATAGTAGAAATTAGTAATTAGGTAGCCACTACAGGGAGGTAGATTCTCCTATACCAGGTATTCCAGGAATTGCTAGAAAAAAAATCCCATGATGTCACACTAATAAATCGGTTTAAAGCCACGGTACTATGTCTTGTTTCGCATTCTTTTAATGAGATGAATTATTACAACTTGTAAGCGAACAAGGTCGCTATCAATACATCAATACATCAAGAAACACTGCTGTTGTAGTACTGTTGGCCTCAGTAACTACAACTAAGTGTTTCATACATTGACCAAATCCATGTAAAAATACACAGCGATGACGAGAAAAGATGGGTCCATCAATTCTTCCTCGTATCTAATTAAGTGGGTTTCTGGAAGCAGTTTCCACACAGCTTCGTTATTCTGGGATGATCCGTAAAGGTCGGCATCAACAAAAGCGCCAGGCATTCGACCTCTTCGGGCCCATGCACGATAATTTTATCAATGGCAGGCTGGGACATCAGAGTTGCGTTAGTTCTAGGTGCGTGTATACAGTTGGTCACGAAGGAGGGTAGTTAGTCATATACATAGACATAATATATTCGGTTAATATACAAAGAAAGCTTCTTTTTTCAATTATCTTTTTCATTAATATGCACCTACGTTTAGTGAGAGTAAATATAATTTCAATCCCACAGTGTTAAATTAGTGCAAAAGGGTGCTTCTTGCTTATCGGTGCATTTCTCTAAACCTTCATTTGCTTATAGTCAAGTATTAAGCCCCACTGCAGAGTTTTTTTTATTTGCTTCCAATTGTTTATAAAATTTTGCTTTCATCGGGACCCAAAGATCGGCTGGTTATAAGGATGTCAAAAAGGCAGCTTTTTTGACATTTTTTTGTCATCCTTGACCAAAATCAAAAGCCTGTTGAAAGAATTTGGGACATGTGTGGCTTATGTGATGCATACTTTTTAACTGATAGCATTGCTCAAAAGCGGGTTATTAAGCTATAAAAGTGAATTTTTTTTATCTAAGCGACCCGATTATCTTTTCTGTTCCTGTTCATCAACGATGACTTTTGACCATATTTAAAGTAGGATAACTTCTAAATAAATAATTATTTACCCATAGATATATACTTCATAACATCGGTAAAAAGTAGGGATAGTAAATGTACCTCCTTTCCACGTGTACAAGTTCAAACGTGCCTGTATCGGCATTGGCTATTGATTTGTCAATTATTAGAAACTTCAGCTAACTCCGAAAAATATTGTGTCGAACTGTGTCAAAAGCTGAAAGCTGAAAATCGATGAATAATGTAACGCATATTGTAGAGTAAGCATATCTTTATTTACTATCTAGAATAGTCAATTATTAGGCAAAATTTGTGCCATCTGAGTTGGCTCCTGAGAATAAATCAAAACCTCTTATCGATACTAAAGTTCAGTTTTATCAAGGCTATGTATTGCTTTTTAAGACATGTGTTTAGATGACGGAATTGTAAACGAATTGAAACCTGAATTGCTGAACTACCCGCCCTACTTACCAAATTTAGCCCCCGGCAAATTTTAGCTATTAGCAAAATAAGGAATAAAAGAAAAAAGCAAATAAGGAAGGCAGTAATAATAATAAAGATATTATTATTATTATTAAGATTAACAGCTGCTTATATGGTTGCCATACCGTTTCATAGGTTTATTGGAGAACCCCTAGGTAGATACTGTTACGCCATACCTAAAAATAGATCACTTGTTCGCACAAAACGAATAACTAGCAGTGCTAACCAAAAACAAGTTTTTGGATATTTTCATATCCAGTAAAAATGATTTACCCGAAAAGATTAGTTACGACTGTAGAAGCATACTCTGTAAATAATTTTTAGCATCTCTTCACAAAAACACTTCTTCGACTCTTTTTGTATAAAAAACAACTGCAAAGGTGTCTCAGCCTCAGTCTGTTACTAGGCGTAATAAAGACTGACAAAATATAAATTCAAACAAAACGCAAATAACAGAAAAGTACCTCAGAACAATCTACTCAATGATGCGCGACGAATCCTCCAGTGAAAACACCAATGAATTGTGGCTTAGGGTTCTCCATCTATAACGATAGCATACTAAAAGCTCTAGATTGATTACTAGTATTAGGGGACCAGCTGTCAGTATTGCATGTTAATGAACATAATATGCGCGTACATTACACTTGTGTCTTTTCTTTGATAAGCGACAAATGAATTTTAAGTGTGTGTCGAATCGTGAATAGAGTTTGATTAGTTGAAGTGCCAGCCCGTGGCTATTGACAAAAACGTTTAAGTTATACGTGTTACATTTCCATCAAAACTTTAGGATACTTCGTGCTAATGTGCTCGCCGTTATATTTGCAGCTAAACTAGGAAGGTACCCGTGAAGCTAAGTGTTTTGAATGGAAAGGGTAGAGAGTGCCCCTAAACCACCTGCGGCGAAATTTTTTTACTACTACAACTTGGAAGTTTTAAAAATGGGTCATGCTTTTAGTTCGAGAAGTTTTTTGCCTAGAGTTTTTGAAAGGCGCAGAGGTTACTTCATAATACATGAACAAAATTGAGTAATTTGATATAAAAGGACCTCGATTAATCGCAGTACGAGTCTTGTATTTTTTGCCTTTTAGAGTGCATTTTTTAATGTTAACTAAACTATTTGATATCATTTGGATAAACGGTCCTACTAAACTGTGCTCACAGTTTTTACTGGAAAATGACTTGAGTACTGCATGATATGTGTTAGGTTGGTACACAAGTACTTTCGGTTTGTTTTTAGTGCTCCGTTCCCATTTACTCATCCACTGTTTCTTTACTTCTTCATATATTCTATTCGAAACTACTTTTTCTCTCTCTCGCATGTAAATCCGTTGTAATTCCATTGTGCAGTGAATGGAATTCATCAAAGCATGTCGAGCCCAGGCTATAAATACGGAGATTCCAAATGAAAAAGCGTGCCTTTTCGGCACGTACTGTAGACAAACACTTCAAGTCGATAAGATTTGCCTAAAAATGAGAAGTTTGAGTGTATCGTGTATTCACATTGGCTGTCAACAAATCCCGTGGCACTAAACAACACGCAGAGACAGTGACAGGCTTATATGCGCACTTGTAGATGGTGATGATAAATAGTGCCTTCATTATAAAGCAGAGAAATGAATAGGCAACTTCAGAAGAGACGCCTACTTTCAGAGTTAAATCAGATATTCATCCCTAAGAACACGGTGATTTTCGTTTTCTAGGACTAAAAGAGTTCTATACACTGGGAAATGTTTGGGAATAACAGGACAGTAAACAAGGATTTGTATACAGCTCGGTTGCATCAAGGGAACGACGCTATGCTTTGAAAAACACCCAATAAACGAGGCAACACCATCTCTTTTATCAACAATACAAAGCTTCACATGGCATAGGGTGTGAAGATAGCCCTGTAAGAACTTGAGTATGCTGTTCTTTTGCACTCACCATAATTTCGCTCTAGCGGATCATTATTTTTACCCACCATTGTAAATAATAAGTAACCGCACACTTGACAGTAAAAATGGTCTATAAATCTGGCTAGACAAATTTTCAACACCAGCCCTGAATACTTCAGAGGAAAAGAAATAAATTGGTTAAAGAGAAATAAGTTGAGCTATTAATTTATTACTAAAAATAAGTTAAGTGCTGCGTCCGTCAACACCCAGATTTACTTATATCCCAACCTACTAATCAACCACGCATATGATGAAATTGGCTTTATCCCAGAACGGTTGATATGATGTAATTCGGTTCTTACCATTCAATTCAACCTGTCGTCAGCAACACTTCCGAATTTCACACGAGACTGTCGAAGGATATAAAATTATAACTGAGTGCAGCATGACCAAGATAAAGATTCTCGCTTATCTGGGAACAGCTAGCCAATATTAGTAACAGCAGCTGGAACCAGCTCTCATCATACAAAGGGATATGAAACTTTCCAGAGGCTTCCAGTGTTTCACTTGCATGGTACTTCGGTATTCTTTTAAATATCTAGCTCATTTCAAAATAATATTCCCACTATAAATGACCGTTTCATACCGTCCCTTTCAATAGCAGTGATTGCGCTTGACACTAATGAGATCAAAACGAAACGTAAAATCTTCAGGTCAGATTTTCTTTACTTGTGTAAACGACGGCGACATAAGGTTATATTGTGTATCCTTAGAATACTATTAGATTTATTTTGACAGTTGGAATCAGTGAATACTTGTCATGTGTTAGAATAGTTCATCGGCAGTGTGCTATATGAAGCTTTATTAGCAAGTATGTTATTTAAATAAAAATCTTGTTTGCAATATCAGTGGTGCGAAACACAATCCTGTAACTCCCCGTTGAAATTAGGTTTACGTGTAGCACGTCCCGAAGATATCCGCCGCAATAGTCTGGAATGGGCTTCTTTCACATTTGCAAAGGCGCAAACTTCAGCAAGACTGTAAATTAAGAAGTATCTTATGTCTAATTATATATACTGCTCTTTTTCTCTCTGATACAACATAGAATATGTGAAGCGATTTGAACTCTGCTAAGCGTATGTAAAGATTTAGGCGTGGTCTGAGTGATTAGTGCGTATCACTTTGAGCATGTTATTATGATAGTTTTACTAATAAACATATACTGGTTCCAATCTCAGCGTTGGCAAAATTATTAAAAATTATGAGGAAAATATTGAAGGCTTCTTAAGACTCTCAATAAAGGATAGGAATTAAAAGTGCTAAAAAAATTTAGCGGTGAACCTGACAATGAATCTGGGAGATCGTGTACCTGATAGTAACAAACCTATTGTCGGTAGTGCTCACGAAGTGGTAATCATCAAATCTGGAAGCGGTAAACACCAACAAATCGCTTCGCCTATGCTTCTTCGGGCAAATCTCACCTGGTTGCGTAAAGGCCACGGAGGCATTGGGCTGACTCCCGTGGATCATACTTATTTAGCGGTGGCCAGGAAAAATATACATGCAGGCTGAAAAAGAATGATTTAAGCAGCAGTAGATCCACCCCAGCTATTCCGCGGTATTGAAAGCGAAGCAAAGGCCAACTGTACATTCATCAACGTTAACAGGGAGACATGTAAAGCATAATAATAACTAGTCTAATTGGATTACCGCCGTGCATTTTACAGTGTATAAAGAGACTCTTTCTTAAACGCCGTGGAGGTCCGCATACCGTATACCAGAGCCTTTGGTACATAAGATGTAGCACTATGATTCAAATTTACTGTTAAAAAGAAAACAACTATCTTCGCCGCGCAGGTCACAATGACACCTTTGTAGACCCGCGGCAGTCTGCGCGGGATCGCAGAATTTCGTTGAACAACGAAATTCACAAGTTCAGTTTTGCTGTCTAGGCGTTGGTAGATGACCTACTTGCAGCTATCAGGGAGCTTGAGAATGCTTTGTAACACCGAGAGCATTCTGGTCCGTTCTTAACGATTCCGAACGCTCATTATCTATTATATCGAAGTCTCGAATAAAATTGCACGCTGAATACTTTTTTTTTATTTTAATAACATTTGTTCTGTGTAGTAGGCATCGTTGGTCGCAACCACCTGACCCTGAGTTTTGCGGGAGTAGCTGCCCGAGAGAATATAAGATCCATGAGTTCCTTCTAAATGTCGCACTCAGTTGAAAAGAAAGCCGGCTGAAGTTCTAATATGAATTCTCCAAGTAAGTGGCTTTAGCAAACTAGTAGATTTAGCTTAAATTAACAGTCATCACTATAAGCTTCTGAAGGAGGTGCCGTTTAAAATGTTTAAATTGCAAGCGGTTACCTTGAACGAGTTCTCATAAATAAAGGTTCTTCGAGTTTATGGAGCTCGCACCATACAACTGTTAGCAACGTTAAATGAGATTTGAAAGTAGGAACTCATAACTTTATCAAGCGAGGATTAACCAAGAATAATTTATCCAATCTTATATGTCTCAATTTGATCTTGAAAAATATGAAGGTACGCGCAATCGTTGTCATTCTCGGGCCGAATTGTCATCTCAGTCGTACTGAAATCCTCTATGAAACACGGCCGGGCCTAGAGAAGAAACAGAAAGCTAACGAAGTAATTACCCTTCTATATTGATTAAAATCGTCGATCTTAATCATATCAGTTTTCTCGCAGAAAAAGATTACGAATCATACAATCCAGTTCATTTCTTCTATGACAATAAAAAACATGCGTAGCGCACACTCTTGGTTCAAGTAACTATCTTTACGGAGATTATCTAATAGTGAATTCACTTGTATCGATGACGCATTTATTCAAACGGGCTCAAGTTTCAAGTTGAATATAGACACGATTTTAGAGTTCTTGGCCAAGAGTGAACTATTGCACCTTTCTGTTCTCAGCTTTGTTATGTACATATGTTCACATGAAGTAGAAAACGTAAACCTATTTCAAATTTTAGACTACAAATTAGTTATATTTTGCTAAGTACATTTATCGTAATTTAGAGGGATCACTGAATAACAAACACTTTTCATACTCTGAGATTCAGCAGAGTGGCATGGAGATGACACGCTGATGTGCATATGATTCAGCAATAATAAATAGAATAAGCATCTCAAACTCGATTTGTTTTGATGTAGACCTGGGGATAATTAATAGTGAAATAGCGATTTGTCGAGCCATTTGTGTTTCTTCTCCAGCAGGTTGCCAACGAAATTGTCGAATTTCATTGCTGAACAACACATCGGGGAGACGGCGGCGCTGATACACTTTTAAACACGTCTACCTGTGCTAACCTGATAAAGCCCATGGATCGCTCGTCACGCCTCTGATCCTCGCTAGCAAACATCTACGTCTCCAACATCCAAATCTTGTAGGAGTGATGGAACACTTGTCTTAATAACTCTCGGATACTTTCTAGGAATGGTCTCATTATTTTTGTATAGATCCAGGTAAACAGATAAGTCTGATACAAATTTTGTCAAACGTTGCTATCTACAGAACTTAGATAAGGTTTTCTCTATTTTTATTCTCCCACTGACGTTGCACGCAGAAAAATAATTATTTAAACATAGCCACTGTAGCTTCTAAAAGCAATACTAGTACTCAATTGGTGTTAAAAAAGACAATTTAATGAAGATATTCTTTTACCTAGTGTACAGCTCTTTCTGACGATGCAGACCTTTTCGTCACTTCAATTTATGCTTACTGCGAATAAAAAAGTATTAATCATTGGTGGCACTTGCAGACGAGAACGAGTCGCCCACCGTGTCATCGAGGCCTGCCCGCAGTTGTCATGCCTGAATTCTTGTTACCCATTATTATATATTGTATACATTTAAATTAACGTGTAGTGCGGATTACAGCTGAACTGTTAGCCTTAGTTGATTATTTCAAGGACGCAGTGACGATATTCGGTCTAAGTTCATCGTGGTTTTCACTACTTCCTTTGTATTTCTCAACTGTATAGGCTATATCTCAATTCTAATACAAACTACGTCTGCCCTTACAGTATTTCCATTTCATTCATTTCGTCTATGAGGTGAATCAAAAAGCCCTTTGAATAACTCAAAACTGAAAAAATTAGCTTCTTTTTCCAATTGTAGCAGGTATAACGCAATATAAAAAAAATAATTTTTTTTGCACTAGAAAAACAAACCAATGCTCGTTCATTTCAATACTCAAGTGATGTCCTATGTACTAGAAGAAGGCATACCCAATATTCATCGCCGCACAGGTTTATTTATTGATTTCACTAATTCCCTTTCTTTCGCGTGTAGTATAACCTAATATTTTCGCTTCTAATTAAGCAATCAACATTATCCTTTATCGTTTTGGAAAACATGGTTTCGGAAAAGTGAAAATAATACAGTTAACTTTTTTTCCACTTCGTAGCTTTGGTACTAAACGAAAGTATGAGCAAACATTATTTATCTGTGCCAAGTAGGGTATCAATTGTAATTTTTGATAAACAGTGCAGTTCAAATGGCACCAAACTTGAGGCAACTATGCAGACCAAATGTTAAGGATTTTGTCTATTGTATATAGCGTCAGGTCTTGCCTTCTACCAGTCATCAATGATCTATCTTCGTTTATTTGAAATCAATATAAAGATATCGTAACTGAAAGTCGATTATCGGTTGTTGTTGGTCCAGTCACAAGCATATCGGTTCGTTAAGGCTGTCGTAAACTGCAGTGTATTTAAAATGTAGTAATAATATCTTTAATAAAATTTAATTACATTATTTTTTTAACGGACTGCCGTTTTGGATCATTTGAGATTAATAAAGTGCCAAATGAATGCCTGACATCACCACAATAAAGCTTCGCTGCTAGGCATTGTTTCAATCCAGGAGAAAGTAGCCTATTTTTTGTTAGTGTTTTACAACTTCCATATCTGGGTTCAATGACATTGATACCGAGCTATAGAACTAAGGGCCCTTAATTTATTTTGTTGTGATTTTCAGTGGGGCCCAGAGCTACCCATGAAAAAGGCAAAGGGACGAATTGAAGCCACACCGTTACCGCCCATTTTGTTCCAACGAGGGTGGTCCAACGAAGTTTTTGGAGCCGACTCGAACAGCATGGGGCAAAAGGGAACGACAAAAGGGAGAAGACTTTTCGACCCATCAATCCTTACCTTCAAGGGGGCAACAGCCAAGGGCAGATTTTCGGGGTTCAGGCGGTTGGTCGTTCTTGACAGTCACAGGCAATTGCCAACTGAGCATCGTGTGCTAGTTCGGTAATTCGTTCAAAATCGACATCGCTTTGCTTCGTGGAACTGACAATATGTTCCTCACCATTTCGTGCCATATCAGGGAGTTCACATGGTTTTGCAGTGTATTTTGGAGGAGTCGATTTGTATTGTATTATTATATGGAGACGTAGAGTTTCCGGCTCTGTTAGTTAAAAGAAGAACGAAAAACATCAATGAAAGAGACGGTGAAGGAAATAGTCAATTACCATCTAAGGGTAAGCCGGGCACTTAGTAATCGATAGTGTTTGGTCAACAGCACGATCTATAAGAAGATTAGAGCAAAGCTAAATAATAAATTATTTATGGGTCTTTTGGGTCTATCACGGATTAAATCTAGTCCGAGGTCAAGATATATAATCTCGAAATACTCGCTTTCGTTGACGTTATATCGTCGGTATTGTCAGTCATATTTGACTCCGTAGACTTGTCAAGTCAGAAAACTGCACTCTCTGAGCCCATTTAACATTAGTAATCATAGAATCATACGCGAGAGTCTTACAGAAATTGATTTAAGAAAGTTATATTTCTTTAAAAAATTCACTGAAGCGAGATGAGTTCATAAAGTCAAAAGGTTTTGGCTTTTTTTTGGATTTAACATATCAATTTTGAATGGTCTCTCGAAATTTCTGGAGTTTGTTTTGTTAACCTTTAGCTCCAACAAAAAAATTGAGAAGTTTAAGCTAACAAACATTTTTATTCAAACCTTTAAAGCCTGAACTCGATTCCTTTCACAGCAGACCGCAATCACGGAAGGCTTGTAAAAGGGACGAGACGTACCTAATACTTTAACCTACCTAGTACCCTTTAATAACTCCACCTGATACTCAATTAGAAACCGATGGCTCAGACGACATGAAAGCCACTAAACAAACGACAAAAATCTCACTAATTTATTATTATAGCACGAATCCATTGGATTATATACATAGACATCTCTTAACTTGTAGCAGCCAACATTCTTGACCCCAATAAATAAACTATAAATGCTCGTCGACGTATAGCTCAAACATGCTGGCACGTTAGAAGTCACTTAGAGAGGCTCGACTGAATATCATGTAAAGACGTTTTAAAGCTTCTTTCAGTTTAAAAAAAAAATTGGTTTATTTCGGCGCTGCGACTTGGCGGAGCTTAAGGTTCCACAGCAAGCAGTGAACATAATTTTAGCATATGATTTTAATTACGCCAGGTACGAGGTCAATCATCTCTGGATCTCATTAGCTGCTGCCGCTGTTATTCTCCCATACGCCGCTGGCGAAGATCATGCTATCGCCGTCTGGTCCGTGCCTATTCAGCGCGTGATAACAATAATGATCCGGTTGAAGCATTATCCCACTAGCATACATTATTCCTTTTGCGTAAGCGTTACAGCATAACCAGTATCAGCATATAGCGTGTTTTATGTGCATTGGCAGGTTCTTTGTGACTTTCATACGTACTTTGATACAATACTTACATATATAAATTAGGCATAAGTTTCATATCACCAACTGCTAAGGACTACATATAAGTAGGTCGATGAAAAACAATTGCGTTTAGAGGCAAATTCAGAAGTATAAATTTGAACTTACAGTTCACTGCAGCTATCATTAGTCCAGCTTTTCCCCGGTGGTAGAAAAATTTCATGCACAAGCCTTCACACATACACCGTAAGCTCGAGAAGGGCTTACCTAATCAGTACAACTATTTAGTAACGGTTGGATATGTTTATAACGTTGTAAAAAAGCTTGCGTTTCCAACAGCTTAAAATGTAGATGGTAAACTTGTTCTAGACAAAATCCACTATCTTTAGATGGGACCGCATATGTTACTTTGTGAAAAGATGGGAGAAAATCATAAACAAAACGTAGCTGATAATGTCATAAGAATAAAAGATGTAGTGCTCCTCCTGCTTTCTGCAGTTGAAAAAAGTGTAGAAACTTTTTTCTTTGACATAATATTGTTGCTCCAACTAGGAACGATAGATTACCGTTATTTTTGCAAGGAAATCTTGCATTGCCTTATCCGCTTGCTAAGTGGTTTGACGAAAAGCTTTAAAGTAATAATTAAAAGCAGGCTTCGATAGCGCTTAAATGAGAACGGTGTCCTATAGGTCAATCAAAATGGATACGCGGATCTATTAATGAAAACGCAAGTCTATTCAGACAGAAGCTACAAAAATAATAAATAGGGAGAGACTATAGAGAACGCCAAGGGTCGCTCAAAAAAGCTATTTTTAGTCATCTTTTTAGACGTGATAAATGCGTTTAATAGCTTTCCGTGAAAATCGATATTGAGCAAACTAAATCAGCATCTATCTCACAATATCTTTCCATTTCTAGGTGATGATAGGCGCCCGACAGAAATTGATCCTTAGTCTTTCGTTGTAGAATTTGGCGTATGACGGAGTAATGCAACTGGAGAATCTCCCGATCGCCGTAAAGCTCATCGCATACGCAGATGGCCTAATAGTCACTTTAAGCGTAAAACACCGTAAAGCGTAGAACCTAAAAACTCGTACGAGCGGCACTCCAATTGACACAAGCTTGCTTTCTGGATGAATAAAAATGATATTCAAATGGCTTTTATCGTGAAGTGAAGCTATCTTACTTATAATCAATAAAAAATGACACAAAGTGGGCAAGATTGCCAAATGCGCAAAAACCTCACTGGACAAAAAACTTTGCTACATCCATTAGGTTAAGGTAGCAGGAATTCTAAGGAGATAAAATAAGACTTGAAAAAAAAAGCGGGGTAATTAAGAAAAAAGACGTGGAAGACGCGACTGAATTGATGGGTTCACAGGAAGAGTAAAGGTTACAACTCCGCCTGCGAACTAGCTCGTTTAGAAAGGTGGAAAACCTCACAAGAATGATCCTGTCTTGCTGATTTAGCGGCATCTACTACCCTCTTCGACCACCCGCTAACGTTACTAGTAAATGAAGATCCGGGATAGCTTTAAAGTGAAATATAACAATTGAGAATTACTGGGTAGTACCTTAATTGTCGGGATTGAGCCAGACACTTGGCGCATATAAGTCTTACCCTGGTGGTGGTTCAACGTAAAAGTATTAAAACACTCTAAGTTTAGTTAAAATTTTGTTTTTTTGAACGTCTCAAAAAAAATCGAATGAGAATGAAGACAACGCCAATATGTTTACTGAAATTAGAATTCATTACTAGGTCGGTTGCAGCTTCAGAACGTTTTAAACAGAGCGTTTTATACGTCGGTTTACGCGTTTAATTTAAACTTTACCACCATCTTTCTTTAAAATTGTGCGCATGGTGGACTGTTTACAACGTCTTTCATCCTCGGCACGGGAAGAACTACTTGAATCCGCCGAACAATGACAACGTGAAACTCAGCAAATATCCCCTACAATCAACTGTGTGCTAAACGTTGCATGCAGATCGTTACACGATGTAATTTGTCAAACTGAATCGATAAACTGATCGAAAAGGCAAATGAGCACTAGCAAACCTTGTTGCATAAATATTTTAGATTCCATACAACAGATCCTAATATTTTTGGTAACTCTGAGGTCATAACTCACGCTGCCTTAGTTCAACGGATCGCTATTTTCTAGCTATCGCACCACAACCTGGAATATTATTGCTGCTACAGTAGATTCGTCTTAAAGTTACTGCCAAAGCTGAATTTTCGTTCTAATCAACTTAATGCTGCCAACGCGGGTTTCCATTAAAAAAAAGCCGACTTTGAATCGCAATTTTATATTAAATTACGATACTCCATTTTTACGTATATAAAAGTGTAAAATAAACAGTACGGATTATTCAGGATCTTGCAGAAAGTCAAAAAGTAGCAGTTCTTTACAAAAATCACTTTTTCTGTAGAGTTTTCATAGTATGACATATATAGAGTGTGTGGCGGACACCACACATGCATACCACAATGATCACGAATGAGATTCATATGCTTCTTTATTACGGATCTCAGTTTACCCAATTTAGTTTGTGGGCCATGTTTTTATTCTATATAAAAAATGCAGCTTTTTATTTTTATCATAAAACAACATTTTAGGCACTCTGACATGATAATTATACGATTTATAGATGATATCTTAGCTGTCTTAGTTATAAGCTTTATTTCCACGCATGACTCAGCGATTGCTGCGCATACGCGCACATTAAGGTTTTCTCATCACTTTCTGGGTCCTCTAATTTAAGGTCAGGAAAAAGCCTTTTACGCGTTTGGAGATGCTGTGCACTTTTTGCGTAATCATCTCCATAGTATCACTCGGAGTTCAAACGAAAACTTATCCATAAATACACATCATAGATAAGTTACGCTTCTCAGGATTTGGGTTGCATTGAAAGCCATTTGCGAGATATATTCTAGCTAGGTTAATATTTTTTGGACGGTTTGAGAATGATAATTCTTTATTAAAGGAAAACAATCTAAAATTTGAGATTTTTGGCGATAGGAATTAGCTCTATTTAACTTCTGAGAAATAGAATTCGTTTTTGACAGAAGTACAACGCATTCTTTATATACTGTATAATTTCCTGAAACTTAAATAATTACATTCGCCAAATGTTACGAACTAAATTGAACATAAAATATTAACGCCTTGTTAGTGAATAGAAAACACCACTTTTTTATTTTTGTCACAAGAAGTAATATGTTATGTATTTTTCGTCATTATTCATGATTTTCTTCCATCTTTCCATCAAGTGATATATGCCACCTCGCCAAAAAATCGCGGGTTTCTCTGAAAAAGTTTTTCAACCGCGCTTTGAATTCTTAAGTCGTGTCGAAGGTAAAACCAGCAAGAGGTCAAAAACGATTATGAATGCTAAAATAGAAATAAGGGCGTTTACTTACGCATATAGAAAACGTTCACCAAGCCAAAACTTGGGAGTCAAATTTAGCAATTACTACAGATTAAGGTGTATGATCATATTAGAATTACTTATTTAATTATACCACGAGATAATTGGAGGTAGAAATAACAATTCATTTGTAAAATTACAGAACCTCTGCTGCATATATGCTCAGCGGATCCCATACAATATATAAAGCAAATTTTGTCGTTACTGCAGTAAAATATAATTCAGTCACTTTTTAGTGTTCTAATAACAGGGAGTCTAGTAAGTCCCCTAAGAGGCGCCGAAAATGTTAAGCTATGACAGTCCACATTTTTACTACAGGCTAACACAATGATCAGCGGCGAGATGCGACCTCGTAAATCACTACTGGACATAACAATATCGCATCGCATGGCAATTTCAGTGAGTAACCTTAAAACAAAATATATACTCAAAACTTATTTTGACTATATTCTATATATTATAGTAGTATTTCAGCAATGCACAAGACGGGTTATGCGAACGATTGTCCGGTTGCAAAAGGAGATAATTAGACGACAAAAAAACAGCCAATATCCTAAAACGCATGGTATTTAGGACAGCGGCAACTCCTTAGGCACATCTACACCTACGAAAAGAGGAGGGCTACGTTTTAAAGCGATCTGATAGAACTAGCTCGTAGGATGCTTTTTCATGAAAAATAAAGCTTTTTACAAGGGTTTTTGTAATCCAATTAATAAAATGCCGCATGTGCAACTTCCACGTGGACCGTATTTTCGTATAACGTACCGTAAATGCATTCTGGTGTACTTAACAAATGTTTTCAAGTCAGCAAAGCAATACTGAGTTTACGACAAAATTAAAAAAAATAATAATAATCTTGTGGCCTCCGCAAAACGATGTGGCTTATTATCTTAAAACCATTAAAAGTTATTATTTAGTTAAAAAGAAAATAATACTCTAGAGCGCTAAACTAGATCGCGAAACTGGATTGAACTGAATTTTCAGTGTACGCTTAATAGAAAAACGAAGTATCAATCATATTATCTAACTAAGTGGTAAATGTGACTCTAAACGAAAAATTCGAGCTCCACGATCTGCTTTTGCTTCTTATTATCATAAGCGTTTGCCTAAGGTTTTTAATCAGACATGAGACTCCTTATAATGGACCTGTTCCATTCATTCGGAACGACTTTTTATAAGTTTTTTTTTTACCCTTACCATATTTGACGGAATTGAATTAACTTGAAGAGAACGATTGATTTCCATAGCATATAAGTGTATAGGTTAAATAACGTAACTATAATAAAATAATGTTCAAAGTAATCAAGTTTGAAGTACCTAATATCGGAAAATTAACGCGCGCACATTTTTATTGTATGTAAGTGACCGTTGAGAGATGTACCATATTGGACTAAATATTCCGTAAAGCATAAAAGTGGCAACACTACTTGAAATGCGTGCCGGAATGCCTTTTGAAAGGACCGTCTCTAATGAGTCGTAACAAAGGAGGAAGCATACGAATAAAGCAGAAGATAAAAATAGGCTCAGTTCAAGCCATAGAAAACAACGGATTTACTCAATAATGTTACAACTTAGCAATAGCATATAGAATATAATACACATATTAATTTACCGATGGTAAAACCTCGCGTTTATGTTCACAATTGTTATAAAATGTAATTACTTGGATTATATTAATATATCGTAAAACACTACGTTATGTACAAAACGTTCCGCTTCTCATTCTAATATCCTTTTAATAAACACCAGAATGTTTTTCCATTAATTTTTATATTTTTCTTTAAACTTTTTCCTTCTCTATACAATTTGTTTCTATAATAATGCGTTTTTAGAGTCATTAGCCACGAAGTTTTTATAGTGATACTGATGATAAAATTCGAACAAAAGTATATATATAACGTCAGGTTATCGTGTGCTATTGTTTAAAGACTTACGTCACAAATAATAATATAAATATTTGTATGGGTAATATATGTTTTAGTTTTACCATTATGAAAACATATGGAGTTGATTGCTAGTAAAATAAATAAATGAACTGCATTCTTAATATGCAGTCAACGAATTGCATCAATCACAGAAGCTATTTAAGTAAAACACTGTTCGCTTCTCAATTCCCTATTTCTTTTCAGTTCTAATTTTATGACTTCTTTGAAATAATAGTTGTGTCAATTTTTATTCGTGTCAATCTGTTCTAAAAACGAGTAACTAAAAATAAACGAATCACGAGTCATACCATGCCAACGACGACTAGAACGAAACAGAAAAGCTGATTGCTTTTTATCTATCCCTGAAATCAAAACTCAAAAAACGCATTGAGGCATCAACCTTCTCATTGAACATCACCCTTTGTAACGCAATGCAAAGATTCATCCTAGACACGTTTTCGTTTCATCCAATAGTTTAATTTGCCGTGTGATTGTAGCACCATATAAAATGTTATCAACAGTTATGCGTACTGTGACAACTATGACTCTACACTCTCATTTGTAGATAAAAAATAATCTGTTCCATTTCCACAACAGTCACACATCACGGGGTTCCATATTATTTCATATACCCGTTACTAGTTTCACAAACAGTTATCTAAAGTGTATCTTTCTAGATTCATTCATGTCATTTTTAGGATGATCTTTTACGTCGTCACTTGTTTAGGACAAACTATTGGTGTTTACGAATCAGCTTCCTGCTAGTAAACAATAATCTCCTTTTTTCAGTCGAGCGGCGATTTTTAATTCAGCCTCTGCGCGTCTAATTACCTAGAATGCTTTAAGAAATTCCTTGATTTATACCCTCTAGTCTTAATAAGCCTATCATGTGTTCTAAAGAAATTAATTTTAAAAATTGCTATGTTACATATTATTTTCAGAATTGTTTTTCCTTCTTTTCGATACTTTTCAAAAGCGATCACTATAAATCGTCCGTTTTCACATTTATACTCACTCAGTGCGCGTATAAACATGGCATAAGTCAAAGACTAGGATGTGATAGCTGCCGTTGTTAAGCGTCACCTTGAAAACAATTTCTCTACAAGGAAATAGGAATTTGATTGGATTGAACCAATATTATTTTTAAGAGAATAAAGTTCACTTCTTATATAAAATAGCTGATAATATTGCGGGGATAAGTAAGCTTTTACGGACACCAAAGGAAACAAAGTAATAGTTGCATATGCTAAATAAATATTTGTGCATATTCTGTCTGTCCACTGGGCTCTACCTTAAATGAACCTAGACTTGCTAAAGTTGTGACGTTAGATAATCAATAATAGGTACACAAGCAAATGGCAAACATCATGCACGACATAATGCTTACATGTTAGAGTTTAATTTTTTGCGATTCAATATCTCTCCCTTTCTCCTTTCACATTTTTAGCTTTAACAACGAGTATTTTAAACCAGAGTATACTCATGCAGAATACTTCTTGAAGCTACCCAGTAATAACAGTAGGTAAAGAGATAGTTTTTGTAAAACAAATGAATGTCATGTTTGGTCCTTTCCCAAGGCAATGCGGGCTTTACGGACTTGGAACTTTTTTCACAGTGAACATATGACAGAGTTTTTGTATGATCACACAAAGATTATTCAGCACTTTTGATACTTCGTCACACTGGGCCAGTTCAGAATCTGCACTTATTTAAATGATTAGAATAATCACTAAAAACCTGTTAAAATACGGAATATTACACATCTGTACTCTGCCTGGCTTTTAGACATTTTACTTTCGCGCGAACCATAAAAAGGAAGCGCATAAGGATTCTGTTATTAATCTATCCTTTTTAGTTAACAGAAACTCTGGCTGTTATTCCTAGAGATTTCGCTAGATAATGATTTTTAGCTATTTCTCATCAGTATGATATATCATGAATATCATTTTTACATATGCCTTTATCTAGTCACACTTACGTTGATTCGTGTCTCTGCTCCCGCTTTATACATTTTTTCAAGCCTCGTATAACAAATAGCGTCTTTTTTAATCATGAAGAAGCGTAGTTGGTGTATACCTTATGCAATTGATGGATGAACTTGACGAGGAATGCAAATGGTGACAACTCTGACAGCTTCACCTACATCTTGAGCATATGCCTCCCATAATGGTTTCAAGTACTACATAGCTTAGCTGATATACCGACAATATATATTGCTATCAATGAAAGGAACTTGACAGCTTTGGAATTGCTACGTAACACTTTTGGCAATAGATTACACCTTATTTTCATCGATCTTCTCTCCAAAAACGCGCTCTTCTGAGGCAGGATCGACCACATCATCGATATCAGCGGTTTCGAGCCCTTCATAAAATTGTTTGCACATTTCCGGCTTTTCTCTCATAAGATAAACACAATCTGTCTTTTTAGCCGGAGACACAGATATACGGCGTCCAAGGACAGGTGGATATGTTGTTAACAGTCGTTCTTTGCTACGCTCGAAGTTTACTGTCACAGTTTCATATTTATGTGTTAGAATATCAACGCGGCATCCGGTATAAGTTAACGATACGGCCTTCGCCCAAGCGACCCCTTCAAGTCCTGCGGGTTTTTTCTCTAACGGGGCCTCAAGACCATCGATAAGGACACTAAAATCGAAAAACGAATAGGGCATCATTTGAACAACAGCAACCTTACTATCCGCTCTATGCAGCACGCTGCACCAATCTGCAGGAAGCAGAATCTGCAATGAGTTAGAAAATAAATGTTGTTATTCTAATGAAGAGCAAGCGAATTTGGTCGTCAGAAGTAAATTTCTTCGCTTAGAATATATTATATATGAGTACAACTACAGAAGTACATATGATGCATGGATTAATTCGTCAATAATGGCAGAATTTAGGGCAAGAAATGTTAAATATGCTTTGTAATATCAAAGTCAATTTCGAGTTTTTTTAGTTGATTAGGACGGCAATGTTAAATTATATAAAAAAAAAAAAAAAAACACTCGTTAATAAAAAAATTCATAAAAAAATAAAATGCAGTATGCTTATACACTAGGGCACAGAAAAACAAACCTCGGTTTCTTTTTTCCTTTGCACTTCGATTCTGCTATGGAAAGCATCGCACTCATTCTGAGTATGTCCGGCTACGAGAAACTTCTGTATAATTTTAATGTTATAGCGAGCCGAAAGCTGCATAAGCATCGCTGACAGAGCCAGATTTTTGTTAGGACAAAGCCAGTTGTCCGACCAGACTATAACTGTGCGTGTGTCCGGGCTTTGTGCCATTGTGTAGTCAATGAAATTCTTGAGGCATGATGAAATTTCCATCTTACCTATAATGAAGGCTCTCGTCAATCATTCTGTGAATGTTTATTTCAGTTAATATATTAATCGTAATGTTCTTACTATAGATTATATTAATACATAAGAAATCTTTAACTTCCAGAATAGCGCGAGGTTATATACATCTTGTAATACTATGTCTAGGACATTTTCTGTCGATTAAATTCAAACGAAGAAACTGCATCAGTTTGATTGATCGTTGTTCGGCTGTATATATAATTCTAATTAAAGTGGACCATTCTCAATCGCATTGCATGCTTCCATGGAAAAATGCTTGCCATTTTATTGTTAGAAAAACTCTCTCATATGCATCCTTAAATAAATAAAGCTAGAAATAGACTGAGAAATCATGAGTCATTGATGCGACAGGACATTTAAGATCAACGTATACTTATTTGTTTCCCCGGAATCTACCGCTTCAAGGCTTAACTGAGATGTTATTTCTATAACACTTGACGTCAAAATATTGTAATTTTAAACTCTAAACATAGTTAGACAAAAAATTAATACATATATTTCACTAACTGAAAAAGCAGTTTTATTAGTGAATACAGTTCTAGCTACTGGATGTTCCGTTGAACTTCCATTATAAAGATAGGCAAAATATTGTTTTGCCACAAAGGCAATTATGTTAGGGAAGTAGAGATTTTTCAAAACCTTCAAGAAATATATGTAATATAGAAACAGTGCTAGGCTAAACCACTAAAATAACCAATTTAATCATTAAAAAAAAATATTAAAATCGAGATAAAAGACACATATCTCCAAGGATAAAAGGACTATGAGAAAACGCTGGTTCAAACTCCGCTATCGATAAACATTATATTACACGTGTGATTGGTGAGGGAAAATATTTACCAACGGTAGACTTTACTCTAACACTCTAGTAGCCGTATATATCATATATATGAAATGCAACGAGCCATGCTGCTGCTGTAGGACTGTGAGAGATAATCGTAAAAAGCGCACGAACCTCGACCAGCAATGCTCTCGTCCCAAAGATAGCAAGCCATTTGGCCACTGGCGACGTCGCAAACTGTGTAGCTGTACACGGCCAGATGACGTCGGTAAATAGCTTCATTCGAGCGAAGCATTGGTGCTGGCAGCGTCTAATCGCATAGAGTAAAGCCAAGGTTAATGATATATTCATGCAGTAATCTTTGGACGAGGATTTGAATTTGGAAAATTAAATCGGATTCTTTAGCAAATTTCGTTATAATATTATACTGTGCCCGTTTTGGGTATTTTTTTTACAATAGCCCTGCATACTATCTTATTTCTAAGTTTTTCGGATTCATTTAAAATCAGAAAGAAGTTTTCCACTGCGGGCAATAGCTGACTATACCCGTACACATACATTATTTGCAGAGGATATTTCCATGTAACATACGATAAAGAACAGTACAGCTCCTTTTCGTCATATTTGCACGAACAGACAAAAACGAGTACGCATAATCAATACCCAATGTACTCTAGGTCTGTTAATTATATACATAGACGTTTACAGACGTACAATAAACACGCTGAGTTGGATAGAGTACATTCATATGGGTTTGCATGTGACTGGCCTCCTAGCTACTAACCTTCTGAAGATCTACTGCAAGTACTTTTGTCGTATGATCCTGCATAGCAAACTGTTTATCAGCTTCTTTGTTATTCTGTCTATTCTTTGCCTCAGCTTGATGCAGATCTTTCGTAAGTTGTACCGTTTCACGATCAGGATTGTCCATGTCCTTCAAACGTGCATCGAGCTTCTGGCACAACGCGCAAAGGTGCATCGATGAAGTAGATTTGAAGCCTATATTGAATTTCTCAACCAATACCCGACGGTAAGTTGCGTAAGATACCTTATGCGATTCCTCGACAACACTTTCCTGTAAATGAGCAGAAGAAATACGATTATTCTTCTTTTTGTCCTTTAAGCTTCCCAGTTAATACACAACAGGCAACAATACGTTTAGATTAATTTTTAGACTAGACACCCTAGGATATTGATCGAATTTCACTACACTATATATCCAAAACATAATTACTATTACTTACTCATAATTATTATCAAAATTTGACCCATAAGACAAAGGGTTTAACTAGCACTGTACATATTTAAAATCTGTAATGCTATTTCCTGAACCTCGTTGGGAGCCACGATGAATTTTGCTACACTAAGCATCTTAAAGTTCACTTTTTATACTAAGTTTTTAATTTGCCAAGCAATAAATTTTGTCAGGATAACCATGGCAAGCTTCTAAAAACTTCATAGCTAGGGCGTCAGTATAGGTATTTTATCCGTGCCTTACAGCGATTATGATTCAATATATATTATTTGTCCCGTCTCCGGGATGGTCCTAACTGAGACTTCTGCGTGTAGGATTGGCCGGATAAAAAACCTTTGGTGGATACGGCATATCTGATGAGATAATGTTGAAAAATATAAAAACTTCCCTATAAAGTATTATGTAAACTGTTCTACGTATATTTATCATCACGAAGAGATAAAGGGGCAAAATCATTCTGTCTAGATAGTAATATGATTACATGTTGGGTGAACTGAGGTTAGGTAGTAAAGAGATTGTTTTAGAAGTTATTCACTCTTTATATATACATATATATATATGAAGCTAAGGCTATCATATTTCTCGTTAAAGATAACGTACATTGTATAGAGTGCACATCTGTGAAATTGACGTATCGTTTGTGATGAATTCACGGCCCTTAGCTCCTTCAGGTGTAGGATAGTAGCTCTTATCACGGGGAAAAGTTTCTATATGGCGAGTAATCTGTTCCATTACGTCAATTTTTAACTTGTGCGCTGGAGCATGCTTGCCTAAAGAGGAAAAGAGGATTATCCACCTTAATCAATCGAGTTTAATAATATTTTTGGTGTCTGATGAACATCTGTTTGAATCAGATATACACAGCTACACTTGTAAATAGCATTCACGGTTCCTCTACGTAGACATGATATATTCATTTAATAACCGCATAGCACTCAGTATCATAATTGATCTGTATGAGTCTTACTTTGCAAAACTTACCGCGATTGGATTGTCCTATCTTATGCAACTCTGATATATCTCCAGTTACTTGGTGCTCAAGCAGGTGTGAAAGACACTTCCTTAACACTCCTGCGCTGATACCGGTCATATCCATAAAACATTTCTTGCACATATCAACCGTTTTATGATCGATCACAAGCGAATACACAAGGGAACCTCTACGGGCCACCGTTTCACTAGTTCTCGCCTTAATGGAGCGCCTTTGCACTGGTCTAGCTCTAACACCAGTTAAAATGAGGTCCATTTGTATTTTCCGCAAGGTTTCCTTATCTAGCATACTTAAAACGTCTCGAAATCCAGCCAAATCTCCTTTCGAGCAGTTACGAAGACAGTTCTTCTTACACACTTGATTCTATAATAAATGCATGAGAAACAGACATCGCAATTAGAAAAGGTTAAAATAAATGATTTTCCCTACATCAGAAAATCCTTATTATGGGAATCACTTCTCTTTTTTATATGGCCATGGGGAATATCATAATGAGAGAACCTACCAAAGTCTTTGTTATGCACAAACTACTTAATTTTAACCAGCATGGATTTACAAAATATCTGTATACAAGTAACCGAGCATCAGCTAAGATTGGGCAAGACGCCTCCTCAACAATGTGTATATTTCAAGATATCGGCCTTACGTTTTGGAATGCTTTCGTTAACAAGGCTCTGTGCAGTTCTGAAGTATTCTACAGACCATGCCCAAAGCTCTGAAATTACTTCAGATTTGTGCGTTCTGTACAAGTATTGTGTGGACATAAAAGTGGAAGCATTGTATAAAGGTATGAACATCGTTTCCAGACAAAAGGTCTTATTATACTAAGATCTGTAAGATAAATTTGAAACGGATTGCAGAATTGCTAGTAGATGTCTAACTGATGCACTTAAATAACGCCTACGCACCATGTAAACTTGTCAGTGTGGCGAACATTTTAAAAACGACTGAAACCCTTATATAAAATATTTTTAAAAAATATGGTAACAAAAATAGTAATAATTATAAACCAATCTCAAAATATCCTATGGGTAAGTACAAGCGCTTTGACAGTTACACAGCCCTACGTAAGCATTAAAGTACTAATGCAACCAGCCATAGATACTTTAAGCACACGTAGCTTCAGCAGCTACGTGCCTACTAAATTAATCTGCCGAGTCCTACCATTGTCTATAGAAAATTGTACGTGACTTCCTAACAAAAAATTTTTTTTTCGATTTCGGATAAACGTCATATTAACCAAATCTGTTAAAATTAGCATATATTCATTGGACGCAAGGCATTACGACACGTAATCACATAATGACTATGTGGACTATAACTTTAATTTATTGTATATTACGTAAACTAACGATTTAAGTTCCCAATTTAATGTGCTATAATACCATGTGTGTAAAATTTTAATGGATCTATCTCTAACATAAACTTAACTCTCTTTTTGAAAAGCTGAATGCATTAGCTTTATACAGCAACGAATTTTGAGAAATGACTTTGTCATTAGACAAACATGACACCCGATTAAACATTTCTCACATTCGAACTTATTTTTCAAAAGAAAAAAATCTCGGCTTCGGATAAACGTATCGTTATAAGATCTCTAACAGACTTTGCTTGCCAGTATGATATTTACTTTAGAAGGCGAGGGAGATGCGGGTGATGAAGGTCCAGACGAACAAGGATCCTGCAAGTACAGAGACAGTAATAATCTCATAATAATTGTCATTTTTACGAACCGTTCCTCAGACAGTAACTTCTTTGTTGTCAATGCACGCTATATGACATATATCTTTAGTTTTTTAAACTCATCATATAAACCGCAAGTCACATACATTATTAAAATCGAACCTAAAAACTTTAGATAAAAAACTTTCAGTGTTTCGATTGTATGCAATATTTTGCCCCGAATATCTAAGAGCTAGCACTTCTTAACCAATTTTTACTTAGTAATTTTTGAAGCTTAAAATATATTTAAAATAAATAGGTAAAATATATCATCATCACACACTACAAACACTGCAATATATATGTGGCGAAATAGTTTTTCTGTGTCGACTTGAGATCTTACCATTTTGGATGCTATTATTAAAAATACACAATTAACAGAATTTAAGCATTAGTAAACATTATTAACGATGATGATCTTAGTAGAAAGCAAGGCAAGTAACTTCTATAATTAGTCTACAATAATTACCTCTTGCTGGTCATGGTCGTTTTTATCCCCGGATGTATCGTGAACGCTCGATGAAGAACATTCCCCATCGTCGGGGACAACCACTGAAACTACTTTCGGCACCTTCGGCTTTGGAGGCCGTCCTCTTTTTCTCTGAAAATAAAAAGAAAAACTGTTATTTATTAAAGAGAAAAAGTAGGTTTACATCTGAAGCAGAAGTATATGGTAAATAAATCAATAGATTTTGCATTTGCAAAAAGTATGCATATAAGAATTATTTGAACGTGGCAGCTATTCTAAAATGTTAGGACTATAACATTCATTATTTACAGACGTATAGATGATGACAAATGTGCCTTAGAAGGTACATTGTAACAATTCATATATCAACATAAAGTCGTCTACCCGTACCCTTTCTTCCTCCATAACCTACTTATTTATTACCTCTTTTTATATGGTCTGTATTTGTATAACTATGGCGATTGATATTTTTTGTTCATAATGCATACTGAGCAGTGCATAGAATTAATTTAAATATTTGGTATTAGTAGAATATATTAAACACTTGTGTTCTCAGTTATGCCTCTAAAGCAAAGGTACTTAATCACATTGAAAGACAAAAAATTGAGAAACCGCCAAGACAAGCATAACAGTTTAAAACTGCCGGAATAAGATGATAGACAAAACGTAACGTTTGTGAATACAAATGCACCCCATGCGGCATAGACACTTCTGCCTGGTTGAGTCCACAACGTGTCATGTGTATATCAATCTGATATCCACGTATTCAACTCCTGTAGCTTAATTATTACATTTTCCCTTTCGAAATTGACTTCAGAGGCTATGCATCGAAAAATAACTTTTGAGAAGAACTTTAGCTGCATAAATTGTTTGTCATAAACATAACTGTTAATCTACTGGATCTCCACTGCTAATGCAACAATAAATTAACTTTTATCATAAAACATTATGTCAGCTATTACAATAACGCGAAGATTACGGGTGCTACTTATCCCACAGTCACTAAAGGAAGTGTTTTCCACTAGAATGTCAAGACGGTGCCCCTGAGTCAAAAGTATTTTACACGCATAGAAACTATTTCTTAACAAAGTCTTAACAAACTCGGTGTATGCAAAGTAGCTGAGCTTTAAAGTTAAAAGAAGGTAGTTTTCTATGAGACATTCCCCTGTCGGGTTCAATATCGCAAACATTAGCTACTCACAGCAAACTTCGGTATGGATCAGTCAATTAGACAAATCCAACATAGAGTTCAGAACAGTTGTTCCGGCTGTCGGTCGACCTCGAATAAAAATGCTAAATAGGTTTTATATAAATAAGTGCCTATACGAGCTTTCCCTCCGAATCGATATAAACATTTACTACCATTTAGCTAGATTGTAAACCTTAAATCTTTCTTTTCCTTTTTATAGATTATGTTAACTTCATCGGTATTAGAGGATAATTGCACCCGGACATACTCCTTTGGAAGCCTGGAGGGAACATTATTTTCTCCTTTCTTAAAGAGTTTATGATACCCAAAACAAATGCACCGGCGCCTTAAAAAGCACGGCCTTTGTAGTTCCGGCATTATCGGCATATTGACGGCGTTTTTTTCTCTATAGGACACATCTCTGTCCTACCAGGCAGCTTTCTAGCAATCTGACATCTCAGGTCTTGGCCGTGCTTTGGAGTGCAAGCGTCGTTAACCAACATAACTAAGTTGCACCCTAATCATTTTGCATATAAGTTTATATCCTGTGCCATCCGCCTTTAAAGACTGTATTGTAACTAACTACGAGAAAGTAGACTGGTTTGAGGTGGATTATTTGAAGAAGGATCTTGGGTGTCTGCTGCACGGACAAGAACAGGTTAGCTTATCTAGGAGCAAAAAACGCGATTTTCAGTAAACCTCTCGTGCCGATTCCTTCTAGATAACACGAGTATCTATATACGATATTTGTACCCTGACAAGCGGAAAGGTTTAAAATGTAAGCAAATTTCTGCGCAAGACCAACGAACCTTTAATCTAAACTAAGTGTACCTAGCGTGTTAATCCCAACGAACGATTTGCTCAAGGGTTGGTTTCCATCAAGCCGATCTCTGATATAGTAAATCCTCATTTAGCAAAATACTATATACTATAAAAAAGATTCAAGTACGGACGAGCTGCCTTACTCGCGTCAGTGGCTCTGGGAGAAGCTGCTTGTCTTCACTGCTGCTCCCACTGCTCCCGCCCTCTTTGGTTTCCTCAGAAGTAGTGATCCGACTTCTACGAGTTATCCTTTCCGTGCTCGTTTCTGCTCTCTCGCCCAACCGGTCGGGTCTCTCGAGGACGTGGGGATTCTAGAACGTAATTGGATATATATGAACAGCGCTATAAGTCAGTACAAATTAACTAAAACTTATATATATATATATATATATATATATATATATACCTTACCTTATATATATAGGGTAAGGAATTAACATCAGCACAAACTTCGGCGGGCTTTTAGTCGTAGAAGACATGCGTTCACTCGGTACCCCTTATACTAGAAAAAAAAACAGTGTTTTCTGGAACAAAAAAAAATACGGCGAAAAATAATCGTTTTCGGAATATGAGCGAAAATCAGCTAGCATTTATAATAGCAATAAACTGTTCACCAAGACGGAAAGAACCTCCTTTCTCGCCCAAAATCGACGGTTTACGTTACTGGGAATTTTCGTTCGGTTTCTGAAAAATCCGAGGAATATTTTCAAGAAGCAAACTGCAAAAGCTTTTTCAGACTTTAGATTTAAAGGACTCGAGAATTCGGAGAAGTGGCCCAAAAAGCCACTTTTGATACACTTGTGTAAAAATAAACGACCGTTTTGAAAAGCCAAATATCATCGTCAAGATACTTTCTAACGGTTTTTTGAAACTAACCTTTTGAGACTTCCTGCGATTTTTATTTATTTACTTATCAGCTGTTTTGGGTCTTTGTATTTTTGAGACGCTTGGCCTGCTATCAGCTCAAAATCTAACCCGAATGCAATTTTTTGTAAATAGCGTATCTGAGCGAGACTTTCACTAAGATACACCTTGATGCGCAATTACTACTATGGTGTTACAAGTGAATCTGGTGGACTTTTTTTCAACTACGCGCTGCTAGCAGTCGTAATTTTGGCGTGTAAATATTCTCTGGAGTGGAAAGTCGGTTGAGTTTAGAAATTAGTTCGGAAAAAGACATCCTTTAGTGTCGAAAATAAACGCTCTATAATCCGTTGTTTCTCGTAGGTCATATGACTGTGAAAATTCATTGAACAATGATGAAGACGTTGCGAAAAAGGTTTCAAGGGCAAGCACAGTACATGAGTAGTGGACACAAGAACGGAGACTGAAGTGTTGAAACCTTGTGAGTAGGTGACCAGATGTCGGGAACCGACAGACACGAGCACACTTTCGCAATCGAAGAGAATCTTCGCTTAAGTGCTTAGATGCTTAGGGCCTAAGGAGTGTGTAAACCAAAACTGACATTTCGTAGATAACGGGGTACAGGATTAAAATCTAAAAACTGAAAATGCTGAAACTGAGTAGAAATAGAATTTTCGTGAATTATCCTCGGTAAGGAAATTTCACGCGCGGCTTTGATTAACAAAAAAAAACCGCTTGATACATACGGTCTTCTTAAGCAGGGTTCTACCGCTAGCCAGAGCACTTGCATCGGACATCGGTTATTAAATATACTCGCCGAAAACGTAGCAATGCATGCGGTCCGCTATTTGGATTCCCTCAAAAAAACTTCCAGATTTAAAAAAAACTTACGGACCGTCTATACGACAATCAAACGTGCGCAGTCTGGTCACTTGATGAAACCGCCAGACATCACCGCCATGCCTCAATTACTTCTTGGATTGAGTAAAGGCGCATCTGACAGTCATTTCAACTTGCTTATTCTCTCAATCTAAGTTCGTGTGTTTGTGTAACTTTCCATTCCCTAAAAAGGGTGGCTAGTGGGCAAGCATATTCCACTATCGATTTATTTCGAGAAGCTATGGATAGAGGAGTCACGTAGGTGAATATAAATAGCATGTATATGACTGTTCAGTAGCTCCAGAGCGCTGAGACCAGTTTGTGAAAAATAAATAGAAGTACACCTAACAGCTACTAAAAATCATCATCCTAATACGGCTAGTTCAGAAATTATTCATTTTTAATTTCTGCCCGGTTTGCTTGTAACAGCCTAATATTTGGGGATCATAGAGGACATATTTTGACCATAACTAGTGCATTGTTTAAGTCCAGAATTTAAAATGTAATCACAGTGAATAACGATTATAGTAAATAAAAATAACCGTCAGGAATGACACTGGTAGCGCGTGTGAAAAATTTCGTTAAAATACCTGTTTTTATTCAGCAACGATTCGTAAAAAACAAAGTTAGGGTACATTTCTGTTTTTGAATAGTTTTTGAGCATTTAGAATGTAGCGAAAAGTTCCATAGGGTCAGCGTTACTCAATTAAAGACAAAGCTAAAATCACCGCGTCGTTAATCGCAACAACCGAGAATCTCGACAACAATCGAACAAATCTCTCGCAAAGAAGATCCCGCCACTACTGCCCTCATATCTCGAGTTTCTGCCGTACCGCACTGCTGTTTCGGTTCTATTGCAATTTGTTCGATTACTAGTCCTGAATGGTACTTCGGGCTAAGTCAGATGAACGGTCCCAGCTGTTGCGGGCGACATTGTTTCATAGGATTCCTTAGGGAAAGTGCCGCAAGCCTTCTAACTTTTAGACAGATTTTTGCACTTCAAACACGAAGACGTAGGACGCATCCCCTGCGCTCCAAAGTAGTAAAACGTGCCTTTCACAAGCATAAACCAGTTAACTTTTCAACTTGCCATGACTAGCAAGAACTCAGCCTTCGATGTGCTGTTAACGCAAAAGTGAAAGTACCGTCCTTATAAAGGTTCCCCGTTTAGCGTACGGTGCCAAAAGAACGCGAGGCTCGACCTTTAAACGCTAATTGGCGGTGACACGGCATAGAGGAAGTTTTTGAAGGCACTGTGTTAAGATGTTAGTAACCGATCTCAGATACCCGCACCACGTTTTAATTTAGAATTAGTATTATTTAACGTGTCAAGTTTCTCAGGCAGTGGTACCGGACCACATAGACTAATTTCACACATGGATAAACCCGTGTTGTTGTGATCAGCAAACGGACGAGACTTACCCGTTCGTTAGATGTTTTCTAGAAGAACACTGGAAAAAATTATTTTTTTGTTTGCTTTTTTGACCGATGCACGCTTACTCTACGTGAAGTCCACAAATGTTTCTCTCTGAGTCTTAGAGAGGTCAAAAAAGTCTTCCTCCGGAAAGCGGCCCATAGGCACGTCTTTGAATTCTTGCCACGTATCAGTCTCTACTACTTTACGATCATATCATAGCAGCGCAGTGCCTGTCATGTACTTAGTCCCTTCACATTATTCAACCCTGAGGCCATTCCATCGCATTTTTTTGGGTACGCTGTTTTTAAAATCTGAGGCTACTTACTTCGTTCGTTCCATATTAGATGCATTTTGGGAAGTCGCATATCATTCTGTATACTCCACAATGTTACTACTAAATTTTAATGCGTCGATTGTATTTTCTTTTTTGGTCGAGCAAGACCGGCCCTGTCTAGTTCCACTCTACGCCCCAAATATCCAGGAACCATCTCTTACTCAAGTGTGGGAATCAGTCCGTTTCAAATATTAGACTGAGTAGCCATAAAAAGTATTTTGATCGATTACTTTCTGCCACTGTTTTGGTAAGACCATAATTCCTGTGGGTTCTAGGCAAAAAATTATGACAAGTAACTCTTGTATCTCTTCATTGTAAATTCTACAACGATGATAGTCTGATAGTGTAAGACTTAGGCCACACGGCGAATACATTGAAATTTCTTATCCTATTTTTGCCAGGCAGTTACGGATATGTGGTATGTCGTTATCATGGTAGAAGACGACATTTTTTCTTTTCAATAATTCCAGTCGATTTTTTTCCACGGCTTGTTGTAATGTTGTTAGTTACTAGCGGTACAATTCCAGATCAATCGTATTCGATTTCTCTACAGTCCCATAAAAGGCATACCTTCTTTGGCCTCAGCCCGGCATTTGCCTCAGGCTATAAAGCATATTTTTCATTTGCACATTATTATCGTATGCGATTTAGTTACTATTATTATAATCTGTGATCAACTGTTTTAAGTATGGCTCGATTTCGTTATTTTTCTAGACTTTGCATCTGGGAATATGTTTTTTCGCGTTATTTTGCCTCGCACCGAAACATGAAGGTTTATTTCGTAACCAGCTGTCTGCCGATGGTTTAAAATTGCTTGGCGGTGAATGTTTAGTTCTTTGACAATATCATGGCTACTCGCCTCTTGGTCTGGTTGAACTCTTCTAACAGTTTTATCATATATTTCCGAAATAGATCAACCACCACGAGAAGCATCTTCCATACATCGAAATTTCTAGGACGAAATCTACAGAACTACGCTTGAGCCTTTTTCTGATAACGCATCTTAACCATAAACCGCATACATTTGGTTTGGGCAGTAATAAAATTGCAAAAAATATAGCGATTTTTTCAGAAATTCCAGTCATCTTCAAGGCATTATGAGTCTGGATAGAAACATACCAATGACTTTAGCATATACTGCTGAATCTCAGTTTTCGAATGACAATAAAATTGACTTAGCGTGATTCCTTTTACCTGAGATACATGGCTTTTAAAGCCATCTACGTGGAAAAACGGGCAAAACCTTTACGACAACGCAAGACTTTGCTGACGAAAAACTCTGTGGTGATATACAGAAGGTCTCTACATGCTAGGTAATGAGAATCGTCTGATAACCCGCTAGGAACAACTTTACCTAGTGCAGGTGGATTCTTGAATTAAAAAATAGATATTCATTTAATTGAAGCTATTGTAGCGAGTTCTCTAGCGAATTGAAATTCAATAAGAATTAAGCTAAAACTTTACCTTGGATGACAATCGATCCCTAAGGGGTGCGAGGAGTACTCCATTTGGTGAAACGATGACGGGTGGTAGAAGTTTGTAAACAGTGGGTGGAGGACTAGAGCTTCGCGTCCCCTGTCCCGCACTTGTAGTTGAGCGGCCTGTCGATGTACCCATGCCCATGGAAACAATTCCCATTGGATCTGGCTGAAAATGACAACACATGCCGCCATTTTGATAATCTCAAATATCTAATACTATGCAGTCCTTTTTTCAAATTTTTCGCAGTCTACTCTTAGCTTTTTTAACTATTCAATAAACACGTTTCAGTTGGGGTGGTGTGCACCTAAATTTATTGGATCGGACTTTCAGGCGGGCGCCTTGAGAGACTCGCAGAGTACGGTAACGCTCCAGTTGCATAAAATTAGAAACTAGCAGACAATTTGAATCCGTGAAAACCTAAATTACATCCGACAGGCGATTTTTGATAGGCTTTTGTTATCCTTTGAACACACACTGAATACACAGACGTGATAATGCTGATCGAGGTTTCTCCCCAGATTACAGTGGACAAACCTGAGAAAGGCTCTTTGCCTTGGAGGACTCGAATATATTGACCTGGATAATCCAAGCCCAGAACACCTACGTCATTTTCTGTTGCCATTTTCTGATAACAATAACATCATATGGATACTATATCTGTCCTTATCTTTTCATCATCCTTATTCCTTAATTTCACCTAACCGATAAACTCACACCCAATGTAATGCGTTTATCCAAAACTTTAAACAATGATAGAATTCTAGAATACTATTGCTTTATTTGTACTTAATGCGCTTCGTGCTTAGCTAAGTTCTGGGCCGTCAACCGGTGTAATGTCAAAGACGCTAAGCTGTATAGCACTTCACCATTACCAAAAAGTGAAGCAATGAATAAAAGTAGACGTAGGTGTCCAATTAAATAGATTCAAACCCCATCAAAAAATTTCAAATTTCGGAGCAAGATGCGCAGCACTAAATAGCGAGATATTTTCAAACTATTTTTTACTTATGAAGGTGGCATTATTTTACTTACTATTACATGACTGGTAACCCACATTTCGACAATGAATGGGCAAACATTTTCGAAAGCTGTTAAACAGCATGTGATATATAGTTGCATGCATCGCTATTTTGTAGCACCGCCTCTTGCAGCGATAACTCTTGCGACTCACGGGGCATGCGTCTGGTGCTATTTTTCGCTGTCTCAGTTTTGAGTGGATGCTGTTGCCATACATTAATGATTTTCCGCCGAGATCTGTAATATTTGTTATTCCCTGTTCTTACCGAAATCGATATTGTACTATTTTCCAGACTTTTTCTAGAAATTAAGTTCTGCCGAATTATCAGGCCCTGGCCGCACCTGAATGTCATTGGCAGCGAGTAGCCTAGAAATACCAGTCCTGTATGAAGTCGGCCCAACGTTGATGAAAGCGTAGTTACCGCCCGAAAACAATGCTTGTGTCTGAGGCGGCATAATGCTTTTGATAATTTCAGCATATTCTTGCTGTTCTAGTATTTCCTGTGCCAAATGTATAATCCCAGTGCCTTTGGCAGTAATCATAGACATCAAAACCTTTAATGGATGTTTAACCAAGTTTTTGAAAGATTGTCCGCCAGCACGTTTAAAGACACGATGGCGTTTCTTCCGAGCATTGCAAAATACGATTCGTCTAAGAAACAGACTTTTCCCTAGTTCTTAATGATTAAACTTTTTACTTTATTTGCTCAATAAAAACGGGCTCGTTTCGTTCGAGCTTTTAACCTAGGTTTATTGGTAGGTCTACTGCTTTCGAACCCGGGTTCTTGGGTCGGCGATGAAAGGTAATTTTTGGCAAAGCCAGTCAACGGTCTTTTAATTTGCTTTAGAAGACATTGTTTGGAACAAACGTATCTTTTTAGACCTTGTACATCACAATCCTCTCGCTGTGTAGTATACCCTTTTGAATTCTTAATACCAATTTTCCGAAACGACAACGGAAAGTTTGCTGGTAGCTTTCTAACAACGTTGGAAACTGCATGCTGGGAGGCATGATAGCCTTTTCGCATCATATATATTTATTTTCACAAAGCAATCTACTAATCACTGTTTTCTAGTCATCAGTGAGATCTTTTCATTTCGACACTTCACGTACGGGAACACGCAAAATTATCGGGAAACACTCAAATTAATTAAGCGCACTAAAAGACTACCACTTAATTATTCATGGTAGCAGTTAAATGGTGAAATAGGATGCGTAGTCTGAACATGGTACGAGATATTCGCATGAAGTGTATACACTGGACTTGTTAAAATCTGATTGCAGGTAGCTATCACGCCTGTAAACACTGAAACACGTTATATCAGTTTAACATATCAGCATTTAATGAAAATGTTTTCTGATATCATTATCGACACGTAGAATACCAGTGGAAAGTAGAATATCGCCACTTTCTTCGCTTTACACTTTGTTTTCGTGCTGCACTACAGTGAGTGTTTAAAACTGAAACCATTTTATCGAATTTATTTGAACTGCATTATGGATTGCCGACTGCATGTTCCTTTCTCATAGTTAATGTTTGCTAATCGTTAATGCCACCATCTGTTATACACCGTTGAAAAGGTTTGCGTGTGTGAGTTTTACCTAAGTGTTATAATCGTTTTGTTCGGATAAAGAATTATTTTGAGCTCGGGTTCTAAGAATAAATATCTCACTTTAGAAGAACAGCATTTTCAACATCTACTTATGTTAATTCTTCAATGTACAAAAGAAAAAAACTGCGAAAACAACCAGGAGCATGTAGTGTACTGCACGGTGTAATTTTATAGGTAAAAGATGTGGTTTATTTAATAGTTGCACTTTTTTGGACATAGTACAAAACGTTCCAAAATTTCGAGTTGAATATGTTTTTTGATTGCAGATGTTATTTTCGGACCTAGAAAGCCACTTAGCTGATATTTCTAGTTTTGAGGCCCCTGTCGTATCCGCTACATCTAACCTTATATCGATTTTTCAGCACCCTTTTGACCTCGGTAAAGCATATGCAACTTGCGGAAACGCTAAACTTTTGCCATCTCCCAGGCCGACATATGACGCCCAAATAACGTAAAGCTCTGTTATCCAAATATACATTCTGTAGGGCGAAACAAAGTTTACGGATCATATCCAACTTGGAAAAGGAGAACAGAAATTTCCAAAATACTGTTTTTGTTACAAGGTGTAATCTTTCTCAGAGTCCAAACTTAAAACGTTGCAATCCGAAAGAAACTACGAACACTGAAATTGTAAAAAGCTTTTCAATGACATATGACAGTTCACTATCAACAAGGAAGGCATTGTGAAGGAAAGTCCGTCAAAGAACGGTTACTATTTTCGTGGCAAGTAAATAAATGTATGTATGCATTAAGTCAGAAAAAAATCCTGTGCCTTTTAACCGCATGGAAACACTAAATTGTATATATTAGCTATGATCGTTATGTATCCCATGTCATTGTTCATGAACTCCTCCAATCTTTCAACTAACTTATTCCTTTCCAGTAGAAATTGTTCAGTTTGGTGTTCGCGTAACCCAGCCAGGCTGTGAGGCTACCTCTGCCGTAAAATATTCGATTCCTAATTGTATTTGCCAGCGAAGTGAAAACGTGAAAATCAGTCAGCGCAAGCTTTGAAGAATATGGAGGGTGCAACAAAACCTCTCATCGGAGTCTAGGGGGGCAGTTTTGACAGGGTTTGCCGCGCTTGGTTTTTCGTTTTTATGGAGCATAGTAACCTCAGTTTGTTTGTTAGGCCTTTTTTCAAATAGTTTGATTAACTCGATGCAGCTGGGTTGGATGAACGTAGTGATCAACTGGCCGGCTCGAGGAATTTCAGCTAAATGAGGCTCTCACGGTCCCATTAAACGCAAAGGTAGCCCTTTTTGGGTAAGGATGTGGTCGGACTCTTAGCTTTGGCTTCTCTCTTGCAACCACCTATTCCGACGTCTCGTCACCGTTGACAATTACGTGCAAAAGTTGGTCGCTGTGGCCTTGTAGCACTCGATATCGGGCTAGATGGTGAGAAGCAGTGTTAAGCCGTGAGTGTTTGTTGGACTCAGAGTTTATGAGGTACCCATACTTTAAGTTTTCTGTGTAAACCCAAAAAATGTGGTGGATAATAACAGTATTTCTTTAAAAGTGCTTTCAGATGGCCATCATCAAACTCAGACGATATGGCACGGTACGATCATCCTCTAAGTCTTGGATACCGTTTTCCCACATGGTAAATTACTCTTGAGTATTTTTTTTAGTGACAGCGTTTATGGCTGTTTCGGCAACGTGTTGGCCTCGATGAAATGCATACAGAAGGTGTCGAAATTGCACCTGTGTCTACCAGGAACATCAATTATTAAAAAGTTCCTTTGAGTCAAAATTTCAGTCACAACACGGCACCATTGTAAGGTGATAACAGGGATGCAATAACGCTTTTAAACAATATATCAGGAGTACACAATAAATGAGAATAAGCGGGAAAGAAATTTTCAAACGGGAACTTTAAAAATTTGAATATATCCACTATTCACACGTCATGTTTTACGTTAAACATGACTTATGAATCAATTTTTTCTCATTGATATGCATTTATCAGGGAGTCTTTTGATCCGATTGCGTAGATATTTCATGCCTACCTACTGACAAAGGTCTATACATCCACGTATCTAGAAATTAATTGATTCATTAGTTTTTCCTTTTATTTTTCACTGTAATTCTTCAACTTTTAGTAGTTTTATATTTGTCAAACACCAAAGATACCCTATTAGGATACCCAGAGTTACTCCATTGACGCCTTCTGCTGCAGAAAGGCATTTGTTACCTTCACCATTGAACCAAAGCAACTCTTATATTAGGTTACTACGTAAGTAATAGCAGTTCCTGGCTTAGCAACTTACGACGTTGTTATCATGGTCTTGTTCGGACAATAAAGTTTTAAGCTTGAGTCCGGACTTCAAATACGAATAAGTCAGTGAATTAAAGCTGCGGAACAAAAGTAAATTAAAGCGACAAAAACAACCCAGAACATTCTGTTATATGTACTTAATAGCTACGGTATATTGGGGTATCAAAAAATTACGCACCGTTTTTATATCATCATTAAATCAAATATTTTTTTATGTTTCAAAACAGTATTACTAAACTAAATATGCACCGTTTTA